GCTGGGAGGGGACGTTTTTAAACTCCAACAATGCCTGTGAGAACAAAGCCTCTGGTGGCCTCACAGCCTCTGACCCGGCAGGAGGGAACAGGACTTGGCCAGCTGCTGTGTCTGAGGTAACAGGGGAGGGCGGTAGCCATGGGAAGGGGGGGAGCCCAAAAGATTCCTGGCACTTTTCTTCCCCATCACATTCTCTAGTGCCCCACAAACCAGCCCCGCAACTTCCTGTCAGGACGTGAGCAGGAAGGTGTTGTGCCCCTCAGGTAAGGGTGGGCAGCTGTGGCCTTGAATGCTTCTTTCAGAGGGATCCACAGGTCGAAGCGGCAGCAAGTGCGGTCCCCAAACTTTGCTGCCAGAATTCTTCCCTCCTTTTCCTCTTCCCCATGGCATCTCCTTTCTCTCTCTGCTCCTCCACTACCTTGTCCCCCTTCCCCTCAAATGCACTTAAGCTGAGAAACATCCTAACCATCACTCCTGCTTCCATTGCTGATTCTTTCCACAGTTTCCATCCATGTTATGTGCTTACTTTTGTCACAAGCTGCTTCGAGGAAGGTTTATTGATTAATTTTTACCACTTTTGACACACACACACACACACACACACACACACACAAATACCCCTGAAGTTTGGCCAACGGGAGAACTTAGAATAAAAGCAGGTCAATCATTTGCAGATTCAGTTCATGACCGTTCATTATGCCCTGTGCTGTACAGCTGTGACGCCCGGCCAGGCTCAGGGAATACAATGCTGAATAAGATGGCGCCATCTTGGCCTTTGTGAGGCTCACAAGCTACTAAAGAAGCCAGACATTGAAACAAGTACAACAAAGAGCAGGATACGTAATAAAAGAGCAAACATCGGTGTCCTGCGAGAGAAGCGCAGTGGATTCTAACCTGCGGGTCAGGAAATTCCCTCCCTTCCCACACACGCACGCACGCACACCCCCAACCAACGTAGAGACACTAAACAGGCTCAGGGCGTGAATAGAAGTTATAAGGACGGAAGGGTGAGTGGGTGTGGAGAAGTAGAAAGGTCCAGAAATCATGAAAGCCAGGAAGGGAGACAACAGAGCACTCTCTAGGAAGTGCTCACAATTAGCTTGGTGAAATGCAGGGGAGAGCGAGAGGCTGGAGGAGGCTGCAGGGGGGCGGGCACAGCTCCTGGGGGGACTTCCAGAAGCCCGCACCCCTGGAGGCAGGAGTTTCCTCTTACAAACATCATGTTGGCTGAAGTGTGACTCCAGCCAAAGATGGTTTTTAATTATATTGGTATGACATAGTCTTCAAATTATTTTAGGTATAATAAAGAGAAGAGCGAGCTTTCTAATAGACTGTACCCCTGTGTAGGTGTTGTTTTTTTTTTTTTAATGTATTTATTTTTGCACAGAAAAACTGACCTGTCAGCCCGAGGTGCAGAGGCAGTGAGAAGATTCATCAGAGACAGTAGGGGGCAGAACAGGTGGATCGAGAAAGTACACTGCTGAGGGGAGCAGTGGGGAGACAGGAGAGGTCTGCCATGCCTTGTAGGTCACTCCCTGGCAGGGGATCGAACACAGGCCTCAGCACTGACAACTTGATAGTACTGAAACTTACCCCTTAGGCTGCCAGGGGGGCCCCACTCCTGTACAGGGTTTAAGAGGTGTATCCAGATGATGCCCAGGTGTGGAAGCCAAGTCCTGCAAGGGGCCCATGACAAGCTTTCATTAGTTAATGCCCCATTTGGGGGCTGACTGACACTCAGATAGCTTAAGTATCACATCTTGGTGGAGCCAAGCTCTTTGAATTTTCAACATGTGATGAATTATTTAATCAAAATTAGTCATTTTCCAAAGGAGATGTTTTAGAGAATGGGATGCACCAAGACTTAAGATTTATTGAGATGCGGGTTGAGACAGAAGACTGAGGATGACGCCTCGGATACTGGTTTCGGCAACCTAGCCTATTGTGTGCTACTACTCTTTGGTTGGAACACTGCTGGAGGAGCAGGTTTGGTGAGGAAGAAAAGCCGTTCAGTTTGGGACATGTTGAGCTTGAGGTGTCTGTAAAATATCCAGGTAGAGCTGCCCAATAGCTGAGCACCCAAGCTGTGCACGCCTGGAGCTCAGGAGATAGATCCAAATGGAAGATAAGGTGTTGGGAATCCAGAACTTGCTCGCATTCATCCTATCTATAGAAGCAGACGGGTCTGTTCAGGTGATGAGAAAAACAGAGCACCTTGTGGGCCCAGACTTAAGGGGTTGGGTGGAAGAAAAGCAGAGTGACAGAACTGGGTGACACTCCAGGCACTGGGGTGGGGGGTGGGGGCGGTAGTGAGGAGCCTGCTGCAGTCTGAATGCTCAGACTTCAGGCAACACCAAGACTGTTGAGTGGGTTTAGCTCTCGGCAGGTCACCTTGACAAGGTGACTGAGTAGACAAGGTTAAATCACAATGGGCTGAGTACTCAGTGTGAAGTCGGTGGACAATGGGTGTTCTCTGAACAAGTCTGGCCCTGAAGAAGGACCAAAAAAGAAGAGGTAAGTGTTCAGGAACAGTGTTCCCAAGTTCTTTAAAGATGAAAGAGACAAGAGCACGTTATTCACTGACCATTTAAGGATGGTGGGGAGGGAGGGGTGAAGATACACATGGGAGAAGAGCTGGAGAGTGATGGCTTCAACAGTCTGAAGACAGTGAGGACAGGGACATGGCTCAGAGCAGGGAGCTCAGGAGAGGGAGCTCACCCACTGTGAAAGAAAGTAGAAGGTCACGGTGACTGAGCACAGTGAGCATCGGTGTGTGTGTTTGTGCAATTTGTGGGACCTCCCCCTGTTCCACTCTTCTCTGTGCTTTGCTTGAGTATCTGGATGAACTGTCTGTTTTCACAACTCCCCATTAGCTCAGTGCTATCTGAGACTACAGTTCTCTTAAAAAATGTATGAACGTTTTGGTGAGGATGGTGACAGAGCAGGGATGAAAAGGGCTGAGGGCAAGAAGAAGGCTGTATGTGAGCCCCTGCGATGGATGCCCTGGACATCTAGTTTCCACTTTCCTTCAGGGAGAGCAGGTGACTCATTCTTTAGTATTGCAGTCCACCCCACAATTCAGACCTGGACAAAGGGAGGTGGGGGTGGAGGGTGGCTGGCTGCTGCAGGGGAGGTAGCCTGCTGCCTGCTACCTCCAGGCACAAGGATGATTAACTGCAAATGAGCCAGAGACACAGGGGTGGTCTCCCATAAAAAAAAAAAAAAAGGGGGCCACTGCAGCATAGAAAGGTATAATTTACTACATCTTCTTAAGAACACACCAGGATACAAATAAGACACAGCACTGTAGACTCTGGGCCAAAATGCAAGGATATGACAACTCAAACAAGACGATAATACTAATACAATCCCAAAGTGGGCAAGGTTCTTAAGTAGGTATTTCTCTTAAAAAAAAAAAAAAAAAAAAAAAAGGACTTGCAAGTTTGCAAGTGGCCAATAAGCATAAAAAAAATATTCAATGTCATTAGTTGTTAAGGAAATGCAAATCAAAACCACAATGAGACTACTTTCATACCCATTAGGATGGCTATTAAACAGGGGCCCTCCCTGCTGACACAATGGGTTAGGACACAGCACTGTAAGCTGGCCACAGGCACTTCAGTGCAAGTTCAATCCCTGGCCCTGAAGGTGACCCACATGGTGCGGCAGACCTCTCCTTTCTCGCCTGCTGCTCCCCTCAGCAGCGCACCTTGTTGATCTGCCTGTTCTGCTCCCCGCTCTGTCTCTGGTGAATCCTCTCACGACCCCTGCACCTCTGGTCTGTACCCCATTTCTGTATGAATAAATAAATAAATTAAAAAAAATGAAAACAGTGTAAAAAGTATTGATGAGGATGCAGAAAAATCAGAACCCTTGTGCATTATTGGAGGTAATGAAAAACAGTGCAGTCAGTGTGGAAGACAGGCAGCTCATTAAATATTAAACTTAGAATTACCATAAAATCCAACAGTTCTTCTTCAAAGCAAATGCCCAAAGTAACTGAAAACAGAGATTGGAGTGGATAATTGTGCAGCCGACTTCACAGTGGTATCTCTCACAATCACCAGAAGGTGGAAAAAATCCAGTATCCATCAATGGACAAATGGGTAAGAAAAATGTGATCTGTCAGGATAATGAAATATTATGTGACCTCTTAAGGAACTGAAATTCTGATACAGGCAACCACATGCATGACGTTCGAACATGTTATGCTAAAATAAATAATCAATGTAATGGGACTAATGTATGACTCCATTTATTGAGGTACTTGGAGCAGTCGAACTTGTAGACAGTAAGTAGAGTGCTGGTTTTCAAGTCAAGGGCACAGCAGGGAATCTATGTGATCGATGTGGGACAGGTATGTTTCAGTTGGGGAAGATGACACGTTTGTAGATGTCTAATAGTGATATGACTGTAGCTAATGCCAAGGAATGGTAGACCTACAAATGGTACATAACAAATGTAGTTGTGTTATGTGTATCTTATCACAATAATTTTTTAAATAGAGCAAGAATAAAGAACCATTCTCCTTGCAGCTTTCTGGCTGGGGATGGCTACTAGGTAGAGAGGAAATCCTTCAAGGGTGCAGGAAAAAGAGAAGGGCCATAACCTCAGTGCCACGTCTGGCTCTAGCCACAAGAAGCAGCATGGAGCCAGGAAGATATCATAGCTTAGTCAGTTCTACTGCTTGCACAGGTCAGCAAACAAGGTGAAACAGGTGTTCTAGCATTCCAACTTCATGCCTTTAGTTTTCAAGTCCAGCTTGGCTCAAAAAGATACCTTTTATTCTCAAGATGCGGGACTTCGAAGAACTGAGATTCTTGAGACAACAGATGGCCATTTTCCATCTCCAGAAATGTTCATGTGTCCAGGCCTCTAAGAATTACTTTGTCCACACCCTTCTCATGAGTCACAGGCATGAATGCTGCCTACTTGTCTCCCTCTGCCGCCCCCCCTAACTCCAGGCCCACCTGGAATCATGTCAAGAACAGTGCTCCTAATTATAAATGGTAGACTTTCTCCTCTCCATCTCCTTCACCGAGGTCTGATCCAAGATTCAAGTGCCCCAGGGTGTTGCGACGAATAATCTCCCAGCCCCGGTGACTGTTACTACTGCGGGAGGTGGTACGGGACAAGGAGGGGGTTGGGAGAGCTGAGTAGGGTCTTGCTAGACCCCCATTTTCAAGCATAGAAGGTTGTTTCTCAAAAAGATGCTCTTGTCCATCCTCTTTATCTGAGTTCTTGAAAGCTTCCACATAACGAAGCACTTTGAAAGAATTCTGGTCATGATGGTTCTCAACTCTGAAGAGGGAAAAGGGGAAAGGACTCAGTTGGGTGGGGGAGGAGCAGAGGTAAAAAGGGAACATGTTAGGAACAGGATCAAGAGGAAAGGGGGAGAGGCCTCCCTGATGGTAAAGGGTTTAGTTAAAGTGTCAGTGCTATCAAGTCAGTTACTGCAGCATCAGTTCAATCCCTCCAGGGAGGAGACCCATAAGGTGCAGCAGACCTCTCCTCTCTTACCCACTGCTCCTCTCTGCAGTGTATTTTAGTCATTCTGCCTGTTCTGCATCTTACTCTGTCTCCAGTGAATCCCTCAGCCCCACACCCCCATCACCTCTGGCCTACATCCCAATTCTTGCATGCAAAAATAAATTTTTTTAAAAGAGGGAAAGGACCAGAATTGAGGCAAGAAAAGTGTCTAGGATCAAGTGGCGTGGAGTAGAGTGGAGGGTGAACTGGGATACACACCAAAGAGTTTGTACAATTAGTATTTAGAGGGTAGGGGTGTGAGAGAGAGAGAGAGAGAGAGAGGTGGTAGGATGAACATGGATAAGTATGAAAGAGAAAATGGGTTCAACTAAGAGATGAATGTTTCACAAGGATGAGGAGATATAATTCAGGAAATAAGTGAGATGAGAACAAGGTCAGGACTTAAGAGTAATATATGGAGGAGGTCAGCTTCAAGGCATGAAGAAACAGATATGGGCACCGGATGGGAACAAAACTAGTACATATAGGTACCCATGGGCACACTTGAGCATGGACACAGACACATGACTTTCCACGCGTTACTGCCCTGATGCCCACATGGCGTCAGGTGTGAGCACTGCTTTTACTCCCACCGGGGCTCCATTCTCCTTCCCCAAACAGGAGAGTACAGTCTCACTTTCTAGTGTGTCGATGTCTCTGTTAGGTACAATTTGGGATCTCAAGCTCCTAACTGTGAGACTGGTCATACGTGTTCCCATGGTCACACACACTCACTGGTACTCACCGAAGGAACCAGCGGTCTCCCAGCCCATACTCGTACCCACAGATCCCTGACCGAGGCCACAGGAAGCGTGGCATCTTCCTTTCCAGCATCACGGTGGTGGCCACCACCTGCAAGAAAGACGAGAGGTAGAGGAAGAGCTTGGAGAGAAGCATGCGGTTGAGAACACCAAGGCCATGACAGAGGGAATGGAGAGGACACTAAAATGAAGACACCAGACATCAGTGGACATGAGAGCCACTGTCCTGTGCAAGCTGCCATGCTCCCTGCGTTAGCTTGTTGTTCCTCATAAAAGGAAATAGAATATATTTTATGAGTGTTTTGATTAAAACTGTAATCCCTAAATTCCTATTCAGACTCATCAAAAATGAGTCACTCTAAACTAATCTCATTTCGTTTACAATAAAAGACATAGACCAATTATCTTGACTTCATACAATATTTAGATAGAATCTCTCTGATTTGAGGGACAGAAAGATGAGAGGACAGTTCAGGGAATTTGTAGCAAATTAGATACTCATATCCTAAGGAAGAAATGGGTGGGTTCATGACTGAAAACTGGCAGAAAATATTCTAGAGGCATGTCATCTGCTCTGTCCTTTGCCCAGCTCTCATTACTTAGATGAAACATAGAAAACAAGCTTATCAAACATTCCCATGACACAAAACAGGGAGGGATGTGTAATGTGCAAGGCAATTGAAGTAACAGAAAATGATGTCACCTGGCTGGAATGCTGGTCAAAAGCCAACACTATGAAATTTAAGAAAACATAAATATAAGGTACTACATTTATGTGTGAGATTCAAGTACTGAAGTACCGATTCTTAGCATCTTCTACTTATCTGTGACACTTAGACGACTGTAATAACCAGCTGGCTTCAAAGTCATTTGTTAAATGTCTATCTTCCCAATCAGACTGTGAGCTCCAGGTTAAATGTGTTGTGACTGACTTGGGTCCCCAGCTCTAGATAGTTATTACCACACTGTGGTGGCCACTTGGGCTCCATTCTCTTCCCCAAACAGCAAAGTGCAGTCTCACTTTATATGGAGTGGTGATGTCTCTATTAGCAAGTGCTAAATATTACTATTAAATAAATGGAAAGTCTGGGGGCAATACATAATATATGAACAGTATTCATGGAAGAGAAAGGACAAATAATGGAATTAAGATAGTTTTAATTCAAGGAACAGAGACCTTCCTAATAATAAAAACCTTTAAAATATGAAAAAATTCCTCTCCTATCAATAACTGCCCTAGTCTACAGGATAATAAGGGCCTACATGGCATTAAAGAAGATACTTGGTGGCCTTCTGACAAATAAATGATTGTATGTTGATCAGGAGTTCAACTAGAAAACCACTAAAAGCATTTTTTAAAAGATTTACTTATTTATTCATACAGAACTGGGGAATAGGCCAGAAGAGCAGGGGCGGTGAGAGGCTTAACAAGAGACAGAGTGGGGAGCAGAACAGGCAGACTGATGAAGTACACTGCTGAGGGGAGCCGCGGGCGGGTCAGGAGAGGTCTGCTGTGCCATATGGGTCACCTCTGGGGCCAGGGATGGAACTCACACTGAAGCAGCTGCAGCTCACTTGCAGTGCTATGCTTTAACCTGCTGCACCACCAGAAAGGGCCCCCACTAAAAGGATTTTTAACTCTAAAATTTTATTTTATTTATTTTTTAAAGATTTATTTATTTATGCGTACAAGAACTGGGGTGCAGGCCAGAGGTGCAGGGGTGAGAGGATTTACCAGAAACAGACTAGGGAGAAAAACAGGTAGATTGATTGAAATTCCCTGCTGAGGGGAACAGTAAGTGAGACTGGAGAGGTCTGCTGCACCATGTGGGTCACCTCCCTGGCTGGAGATCGAATGTAAGCTTCAGTAGCTGTGGGTAAAGCACTTAAGCACTTGCACCACCAGTTAGGCCTAACTCTAAATATGGGAGTTATAGCAACAACTAGAAGATTAAAATTAAAAACTAGATTTAAGAACAAGACAATTTCTACTATGTACAGATGACATGATAATATTTTTAGAAAGCCTTAAAGATTCTACCAAAAATATTATAAATAATTCATGAAAAAGTAAAGTTGTAGTCTACAAAAGCAATATATAAGAATCTGCTACATTTTTATATGCAAACAATGAGCTAAGAGAAAGAGAAATGAGGAAAATGATAATCCATTCATGATCTAAGTAGAAATATGAAAAATAAAAGCCCTAGGAGTAAATTTAACCAAGGAAGTAAGGACCTAAAAACTATAAAATAGTATTGAAAGAAATTAAAGAAGATATAAAGAAAATACTCGGTGCTCATGGGTTAGAAGAATCAATGGTGTTAAAATGCTCATTCCACCTAAAGCAATATACAGATTCAATGCAATCCCTATTGTAATTCTTTACAGAAATAGAACAAAAAAATTGAAGACTTTTATGGAACCACAAAAGACCTCAAAAAGCCAAATCAATTCTGAGAAAAAAGAACAAAAATGTAGTTCTCATGTGCCCTGACTTCGAACTATGCTACAAAACTACAATAATCAAAACACTATGTTGCTGGAATAAAAAATAAGCACACAGATCAATGAAATAAAATTGAAAGCCCAGAAACAAAAAAATATCACACATTCATGGGCAACTAATTTATGACAGAGGACCCAAACGGCTGCAATGGAGAAAAAGCCTTTTCAACAAATGGTGTTGGGAAACATGGACAGCCACAGGTTAAAAAAAAAAAAAAAACAAGTAGGCACTATCTTATACCATACACTAAAAGCAACTCAAAATGCTCAAAATGGCCTAAAGATTTGATTATAACACCTGAAACCATGAAACAGAAAAAAAATGAAAAACCATCTTGGTATCAGTTCTAGTGTTGTCAGCCTGTATTCATCTCCAACAGAAAGAGACTAAGAGAATATAGATAAACGGGATTGCATCAAACTAAAAAACTTCTGCACAGCAAAATAAGCCACCATTAAAAGAAAAGTCATCCTATTTAGTGGGGGAAAATATTTATATACCATATATCAAAAAAGAATTAATATCAAAAAATATAGAAACAACTTAGCAACAAAAAAACATGCAACCCCATTAGAAAATGGGCAGAGGATTTAATAGATATCTCACCAAAGCAGATGTGCATATGGAAAACAGGTACATGAAAAGATATTTTCATGTACAGTGTGACTTCACCTCATGCCTGTTAGAATGGTTATTATCAACAAGTCAAGCAATAATTCACATTGGCAAGAATGTAAAGAAAAAGGAACCCTTGTCTACCATTGGTGGGAATGTGAATTGGTGTAGCCATCTTGGAAAACAGTACAGAGTTTCCTCAACAAATTGAAAATAGAACCACCTTATGGCCCAGTGGTCCTACTTCTGAGCATTTAATTGGAGAATATGAAAACACAAGTCTAAAAAACATAGGCACCCCTCTGTTCAATGTAGCACAATTCACAATAGCCAAGATATGGAAACTGCCTAAGTGCCCAACGATGGCGGAGTAAAGAAGTTCACACACGTTCACACACACACACACACACACACACACACACACACACACACACACACACACACACTGGAATATTGTTCAACCATAAAAAGATGAAATCTTGCCATTGCAACAATGTGGATGGACATGAGGGGATCGTGTGAACTAAACCTGAAGGAGAAACACAAATTCTGTATGATCCCATGCATGTGGAACCTAAAGAAAACCCCAACAATCCTTTAGACTCTTACAACAGAATGGTGGTTATCAAAGGAGAGGAGGTGGAAGGGGTAACAGAGAAAGATGGTCACTGACAGAGGGTGACTGGCCATTTGGCAGTAGGTGTGCCCAGAAATGTAATCTACACAGGATTGTAAACTAATGCCACATCAGTTAAAGGAGAACAAAGCAATTTCTAGTTCCCAGTGGACGCATGGATGACTCCTTAGACCAACTTTCCTTGTGGTCAGATCCTGTCACTTTCCCTCCTTTTGTTCTCGCCATCTATGTGAATGCACCTCGGGTGATGGCCTCACGGGGATCTTCTGTGACTCTGCCAAGAGTCAATTACTGTAATAGTTTCCATTTTGATTATTCTCTCTACCCTCTGCCCCTCTGCCAGACTATCAGTAATAAACTCACCTGGGCCCTCCAGAGCTCATCTTGCTCGTGGGCCACCCGCCAGTGGGTGTCGCCCATCATGGCGATGAACAGGTTGAGCATGAGCAGCGTGGCGATGATGGCGAAGGCAAAGTAGACAATACCATACATGAAGGGCAAGTCCACGTCGTAGTTGGCGGGCCCGTCGATGATGGTGAGGAACAGCTCGAAGGTGCTGAACAGGGCCATGGGGTAATCGTAGAAATGGCCCAGATTGGCTGGATTCTCTGTCTGGAAAATGATATAGAAGGCTGCTCCGCCAGCACAAACATGGAGGTGGGAAAACAGGGAGGCATCATCAGCATCCTGGGTAGCATTTACTCTAGTCCAGTGCTGAGCGCTACACATTGACACACACTGCACATACGCTTATCCACCATGGAGATGTGTGAATGTAGGCACACACACACACACACACACACAAATGATGCAACAATAATAAAAATAAAACCCAATTAAAAATGGGCAGAGGGTTTCAATAGACATTTCACCAAAGATGTGCGGATGGACAATGATCACATATAAATATGTTCTACATTGTTTATTGTTAGGAAAGTGCAGATAAAAAGCATACTGTCACTTAACCTCACCCGGCTAGCCTCTGATGTCTGTCCTCTGACCACGTTCATCACTCTGGATAACGGCAATACTCAGACATTTAGAAAAAAAAAAAATCTGTCTGTCTGTCTGCTTATCTATCTATCTACTATCTATTTATCTATCTATCATCTATCTATCCATTCATCCATCCATCCATCACCTATCACCTAACTGGATTTTGCATTTTAGAAACCCAAATATTTAAAAGACAAATGTTTACAAGAATGCATGCACCGTCCACCAATTTTAAAGAAATGTGCATGTAAAAAGATGCAAGAAAGACACCTTTTTTAAAATGTGGATAGTCCCTAAGTAATCATCCATCACTCAGATTCCCTGTGGGTCCCTGGACTATCGTGGAGAAGTTCCCCCTCCTCAGCGTGCAGCCTACTGGTTGACAGTGGGCATGCGGGAAAGAGCAGAGCATTAGAACCTCTCTGTCTGGGGAACGGCAGTGTAAACAAGATGGCCCCCGGAGCAGAAAGGGGCTCAAACACTGCCTTTTTACTTACTAAAGAAGAAAGTAAATAGCACGGGCTCACTGTAAGCGGTCTGTGTACGACAGATGGGGTACAGGGTGGATAACAGGGGAGTCCGCGGCTAACAGTAAGTCCTCACTTGACGCCATTTTTGGAAACAGCGGCTTGGAGTGAAATAGCACTTAATAAAACCAGGTATCCCACAACACCTGTTATTCAACATCCTCCAAGTTGGTTTTATTCCCTCATCAACGTTACAACAAAATGACATCTGACAACCTGCTTAAGTCATCAAAACCGTTTTAGTCTCTCCTAGCTCAAGTGCTGGTGTACAAACGTTTTAGCGTACACTTTGGTGAGAATGCCCTCCAAACAGCGGTTTCTGAGGCCTGGAGTGGCATCCTGTGTGCTGACCATGGTATTTTGGAGTTGGGGTCTTCAAAGGCCGCCCTTGCGTGAGCAGCCGCAGCCACGGAGGACAGGATTCTACTTGCAGCGTTTTGCTCTTCCTTTCTCCTTCCGCCTTTGCCTAAGGACTTTCTTCTGCCTATCCACTCCCCTGCCCCTCCCTCGGCTCTTCCAGCTCCTTCTTGCTGGGCTCCTTCCTCTCCTCCCCGGCTCTCCTCCACAACCCTTGGTCTTGACTGCATCCCTGTTTGCTCTCCCCAGCTCTTCACAGCACTTCTCTTTTCCTCCAAACTCTGCAAACTCATTTCCTGTACTTCCTTTTTCAAATTATGTGCTTTTCTCTCAATGCCAAATGGTAGGGGGGAAAGTAGCGTGTTACTGTGCTATGGAGTGCTGTTTCTTCTTCTGCAGTGCAGACAGAAAAGAGTTAATCATCATGCTATCTCTGTTTGCCTACCTAGTTTTCTGAGCTCCACAACTGGCCAGTCTTTCCTGTTTCAAGTCTCTCTCTGCAAAGCCCTCTTCAGTCTCTGCTTTCAAGATCTGGCAGCGTTAGTCAACACGAGTGCTCTTGACCCAGAAATTATGAGCACATGGGTCTGCCTTCTAGACAGGCTGAGTGCCTCTGGTCTGTGGCTGTGGGTGTGCTTCTTGATTCACGTTCCACCACGGGATTAAAACAGCAAAGGGGAATGTAAATGAGAACTAAGAGCCAAGAGTGAGAGGGAGCTTTCTGGAGAACTGGATCTGGTGATCCATTGGAGGAGGGCGTAGTGCTCTCACCTGAGGCAAAGCCCAGGATAACTACAGCCATCAGCCAGCAGAAACGCAGCAGGTCTCCAAAAATCATCTACAGGAGGCAAAGAAGGGGAGGGTGTCTCAGCAGAAATTGGGGAGTTGCCCAGCGTTCCCCCAGTTCATTTTCCCTTTGCTCCCACTCCCTCCCTTCGTCTGGGAAGGTCATGTGGCTGAAGCCAGAGGAAGATTCAGGGCTAGCACTGACCTTCTGGATCATGATGGTGAAGGGGCCCAGCATCTGGAATCCTCGAGCAAAGTACATAACACTGCACCAGCCCAGCACCAGGGCGATGGACATGGGCATCACCTCCCCGTTCATGTTGGCCAGTCGCATCACCATGGTTACCAGCACCAGGAAGGCGTAGGTGATGCTGGGGGGGGCGGTCAGGGAGCAGGGAGTGAGAGGAAGGCTGGAAGTATTCCAGGTGCCCCCAGATGGCAGTGCCTTGGTGTTGCCACAGGCTTGCCTGTTCCTTCTAAAACCCACACTCACGTCTACTGGAGAGGACACCCTAGATGAGGGTCAGCTGAGCTCTGCATCCCAGACAGCAAGCAATTCTGGTGAGGGAGCACAGAGGGGAGGAAAGGACACTCACATGATGACGTGGAACGGCCCCCCGAGAACAGTCTGTCCGAAGTAGCGAGAGGCACCAACCCTGAAGATGTCCGGGATCTGGAAAGAGGCCGGCAACACAACCAGACAATGTACACAGCAGCTCAGCGCAGAATTCAGGGGGCCGGACCCCACTGCACCTCACCTCTAGGAGCAGAATGACCAGCGCCCCGATGACTGTCACCAGCTCCCCCACCAGTCGGAACTTATCCTGCTGAGTCGCATAGGCTTCCTGGGGGGGGAGGGGGAGGCAGGATGAGAAGTGCTTTCTGATGAACCGAGACTCCAGTCCTTTGGGGCAATGCGCTAAAGCAGCTAAGACCTACCTTCGAAGAAAATCTCCCCACCCCCATCACCTACCACCATGGCATTTGCCGTATGGCCGGCTCTGTGCTCAGGACATTAGTCTGCAAATCCAAGGCTTAATATGCGTTACATATGCTAGTGATTGAACTCTCGCCTAGCACATCAGTGTGTGTGTGTGCGCGCATGCGTGTGTGTGTGGTGAGTCATAATGTGTGATCTGTGCGCCGAAGGACTGAGGTCACATTTCAGAGTATCAAGAAGACTGAACCGGCAGGAAGAGGTGCTAGTGGCGTGGGGGTTTCAGCTGTGCTGAAGGCCCAGCTTGCCTGATGTTATCGTGGTCTCCAGCCGGTAAAACAGACCATCACAGACCTTGGGTTTCAGTATAGAGCCAGCTCCTATGGGCTCTATCAAAACCCTCAACCAGTCACTAAACCTCCCTGAGCTTGACATTTCTTATTTGTGAATTGGCGACTATGGCTACGTCTCAGGGTACCTGTGGAAATCAAATTAGGTGGTGGACTTGGATGCATCCTTTGAACCATGAAGCACAGTAGAGACATTCCTTACGCCTTAACACAACAGACAAAAGCCAATAGACAAAGGGGCAGAGAAGGCTAGAGACCATGTATGGGTTTTAGTTCTGAACAACAGGTGAGAAGGTGGCGTTCAAGGTCAAGTAGATAACACCTTCCTCCTTCTGTAATATGACTTCCAAGTGAAAGGCCTGCCATGAGAGATTTCTGGGATCGCAATCCTTAACGTTTTTGAATTTATGAACCCTCTGAGAATGCCATAAAGATTATGGACCATTTCCCAAGACAAGTGGGAAACACAGTTCACATATGAAATTGCAAAAATAGCTTCAAGTATCCTTTAGGCGTGGGGAACTCTGTCCTCAAGGTTGTATCTCTGAAGGGATGTGCTGAAGACAAGAGTTGAGCATCCCTGGGCGAGTGCGAAGGTGGATGAGGTAAGTCAGGGAGGATGTGATCTCTCATTAGGCAGAAAGAACATTAATCACCATTGCTCTGCACGTGTTCCCCTGCAGGCCCCACAGAGTCTCTGAAAGAGACAGAGACACCACGTGTGGAGTGGCGGTTATGGCCGAGAAAGGAGCACCCCCAGGAAGCCATGGCTGCACAACGCTTGTGTCAGCCCAGGAGAAGTCAAGGATATAACTGTAAGAGAAGCAGGGGGCAAGACTTCTCAGTGACAGTGGGGATGTCTCAAGTGGTCGCACGAGGTCAGGAGGGACCGGGAAGGGAGGCAGGCTGTGAACAGTCAGTCAGCAGCTGGAGTTCAGTCACGCTTTTGTTGTTTAAGGAATCAAGGTCCGTCAACATCTGTGATCTCTCTTGAGAAACTGAAAATTTTCCTTTATCATCTTATGGGCACCTTCCTTGTAGCGTCACTCCCAAGGAAACTCTGAGCTCCTCTTTGCCCTCTGAGCTAGCAACTCTCATGAGTCTCTTCTGAAATTCAGTTCCTGGATTTTGTCTTTCTCCCTTATCTTAGCCTTCCTGTACCACCCGTTTTTCGTTGTAAGGCTTACTATTTCCTCTTGAGAACGAGGCAGTGAGTAGTAGGATAAACAGTAAGTGTGTTACCTATAGAATTAAGATTACATTGAAAGCAGAGGGCTGCAGCTAAGTGCCTGTACAATCTCTTCAAAGTTATGTTTAAAACTGTGTTTCTTGGTTGAGTATGCCTGCAAGTCTTCCACGCACTTCCCTGGCTCAACGGAAAAGAAAGGGATGTGGGCACAGGTCGGCAGGAGAGTTTTGGGGATCAGAGCACCCCTAGAGGCCAAGGGGAGAGTGGCACCAGCAGCTGCAGGATGGAAGGGTCCAGTTCCCTAGTGGAGAACGTCAGGGACAGTTTGTGTCACCAGACCTCCTTCTAGAGCTTCCTCTCCCAGGACTTTTTTGTTCTATAGATTTCATTACAAGTGGGAAGTCCCCTGACAGTTTCACCAGTGAGTAAGCGGGGTGTCCAGTGACCCCAGATTTCTGCCTCAACTCCACCTGGGTTCTTGACTGCCCTGCAGTAGCGGCCTCTGGCACGCTCTCCCAGGCTTCGGGGGACATGGTCTCCCCAAAGCCCCCTTCCTGGCTGCTCCCTCCCCCACCCCACACTTTTAGTAGAGTTCTCATCTGTTTTGTTTTGCTTTATTGTGTTTGGTTTTTAACTTCTCTCTCTTTCTGGAAAGCAAAAGAAACTGTATGTGTTGTACTAGGGATAATGGTAGTCCCCACACCTGGTAGCAAAAGCCCCAGCTATGTATGCACAATGGAGAATTAATCGCGAAAGGGAAATCTGCCAGCTGTGACGACAGACCGATGGAGCGGGCATTATGCGGAAGGAGATAAGCCAGACAGAGAAAGACACAGACTGCCTGGTATCACTCGTGACAGGCATCTATAAAGATAAGTCAGGCTTAGGAACTGAGCGCGGAATAGTGATTGCCAGGGGCTGGAGTGTGGGAAGAAATGAGAGATGTTAGGAAGTGCACAAACTTTCAATCGTAAGATGAATAAAGTCTGAGGACCTAATGTTCAATGTGGTGATTACAGCTGAAAACACCACATTATATAAGTGAAATTTGCTAAGACAGTGGACCTTAATTGTTTGCACCCACACAGAAAAGAAGATAAACATTGAGGTAACGTGTTAATTAGCGAGCTGGTGGGGGCCTCTCACAATGCATGGCAGAGCACATCACCGAGATGCAGAAACATCTTCCAGGGTTATTTGCCCACTGTACCTTGATAAAGTTGGAAAGATATCTGCGGAGTCAAGCTCTTGTGACATTTGCTTTCCTTTCAATTTTAAGGAGAATTGTGGTGTTTCGCCAGTGGCTTCAGTTTGGAATAGCCATTCTTTGCAAAACTGAGAATGATTTCAGTATTTTAAAATGAGACGGGGACACTGAATTTCAACAAATGACTTTTTTGCTATAGCTTAGGCTCCCCTAAAAACTCCCCTCAGACCCTAGAAATAAAACCCTACACTCAAATTGTTAATGAATTCTTCTGAATTTTGTTCTCTGGAGACTTTACGCAAGACTTTCTGCCTCTATTGAGAGGTGGTCCCACTGCTTTCCAGCGTTGTGTTCCTTACGAAAAGGTGTTGGGGGTCCAGGCTATGCTTGGCCAAGTCAAGAAGCAGAGGCACTCATTCTAGAGGGCCTGTCCTTTCGTCTCCCAGCTCGCTCGCCAGTGTTCTCCTTCCCTCGATCCCCACACCACTGCCTCACACAAACCAGGTCTCCCAGCACCCAGCCCCCTCCTCAGCCCAGTCTCCCCATGCTTCTGGGCTGGTCTAAAATGCAAGCATGAAAATAGCAACACAGGGTGCTTCCCAGCTTCCAGTCTGCAGAATAAGAATGAAGGGGCGGAGGGAGTGGGGGGTGTTCTCTAAGTCCTTATCGCAGAAACTCAGTATAATATTTAATTAACACATAGAGAGAGAGGCTTATTTGCAGCACTATGGAAGTAACAACACAGGTGAAGCAGAAAGAGCAACACAGAGTGCTTCCCAGCTCCCAGTCGGCAGAATAAGGGAA